CCCCATACACACACACTTATTCAGAGTATTTTTGAGTTTACTGAAGAAAATCTTCCACTAAATATCAATCAGTGTTTGTGTTTATCAACAGCTATTATAGATTGCTGCCTGAGCACCCATCACAAACAAGCATCTGCTTCATTTGCCCATCTACTTCCCTAGTGAAAGTCTACAGAATAAACCATTGTAACAGAAAACAGGAGAAAGTGCCAAGCTAGTTCTGAATTTACTCAGTATACAGTGACACAAGGAAGCAGGAAGTTAAAAACAAGTTACCGTAAGTTGAATGTGAAATTCCTCTTTCTGATAGCATACATGGAAAAGGTTACAAATTCGATCAATTTACTTTGAATAGTAGCAAATATGACCAATATCACAGAAATTTCACATTCTGCTGAGCCTTCCTGATTGGAGTTTCTTATTTATAGAATGCTTGATTAAATAGCAAAAGCACGGATTTGTCTTTTACTTCTACGCAGGGAGCTCTTTCAGGGTCAGCATTCTGTTCGTCAGAAGAGCTATTCGCTCACCAAGCCTTTTCAATAGCTACATTCTTTAAGCTCCCTTCCTATCTTCTTGAGTTTCCGAGGAGAGCGCTTCCCAGAAAGATCTCAAAGAAACTCACTTTCGGTTGCTCTTTTAACAGCTGCGCCCACTCCAGATGGTTTTCCACCCTACCAGTTAGTGATTACAACAGATTGGCTGTCAGTGCGTCCAAGGCACTTGCTTTAACTATTTTGCATTTAAAGGTGGGTCATTGAATTAGCTTTTGAGATTAGAATCAGAGCGCTTATGGAACTCAGCGCTTTTGTGGATCTCTTTTGAAATCCTTCAGAAGCAAATGTTTTTATTTGGATTAGATGGATTTCGTAGATTGTTTTCGGTAAATCGAAACGAAAACACCTACTTTACAGCTCAAACCTTCGTTATTCTTTCAGCATTCAGTGCTATTTAAGACCATTCGCCTGGGCTTTCCCTCCCACTGCCCCCGCGAACTCTTTTTGATTAGCTAGCGTCCCCACTTTGGAAGACAGAAAGTAAATCTTAAATACGGAGGTGAAACATTTCTAATCAGTAATCACAGTGTTCACGTGTTGAAATGGGTTGTAAATTAAGCTCATCGACCTCTGAGTATGTTAGGGTTTTATTTAAAACGCTCAAGTTGTCTGCTGTGAGTGGGGCAGTTGAATGGCATCTTGAAATGCTGGATGAACAAGTTATAGATTGGCACAAGTGGCAGTCATTAAAAAGAAATAGAATAATTAAGTGTATGAGAAAGAGAAAGCAAAATCTAGAAAAAGTGAGAGGGGAAAACATCTCCACATTCTTGAGAAGATGACAAGATGTGTATGACCATTCTAGTTGTGGCATTGTGGCACTGCATTAAACACTAACAAAAAGAGTATGACAAGGACCAAAATCCTAAAAACTTTACCTGAGCACAAAAGATCATAGAGGTATGACCAACTTTCACTATTTCCTCTAAGGAACAGAGCAGCGTATCACAGTAGGCTAACTTCTAAGTATTTGTTGTTAAAATAAACATAGCTTTGAAAAGCAAGTTAGAAAATAAGAAAATATAATATACTTTCCTGCCTGAGTCTGATGGTGGTATACAGTACAATGCCTTCATAATTTCCAGTAAAATTTCAACAATGTCCATGAAATGGAAATATTTAATATGCTCTTCACTAACCAAAGACATAAAAATTCAGGAAACTCTGGAGAATAGCAGTAAATACAGAGATAAATAGAAGACATTTTTTAAAGCTATATTATAAGGATATATGCTTGAATGGAATGGATTATGAAAACTGCCTATGTCATGGAAGTACCGATGTCCTTATGCAGCATCAATAAATGGCTGGTATAAGAGGGATCTTTCCTCGGGTAAGCTTCTTGAAAGCATGATGTACAAGGCTACAGAAACCGGTTCTGACTGCTTAATGTGTCTTAACACCATCAGTCAAAGACCAGTGAACAATAAATATTTACTGGCTGCAATCTGCTCTTTGCATTGTGTTTAGTTTATGTTTTAACAACTCCAAGTTCCTCCATGAGTCTGTTTTTTTTTTTTTTTTTGCCTCACCTACCATTTCTTTGTACTTTTGAGCCTGCTCTTGAAGTTCTTTGAGGGATTTATGACTCTTTGTTTAACGTCATCATTAGCAGAGATCCAAATCATCAGAACTAATTAAATAAAACCTTTGCATCTTAAATGTAGGATAAACACAAACTAGATATATAAAATCTAAGTTTTAAGGTTACTGTTAGCATTTCCAGGTTTATCAGTGGGAAATCCTTAGGGCAGCAATCCTAATCCAGTGAGAGATGTTCCTGCCTATAGCAAGAGGGTTGGAACTAGGTCCCTTCCAGTCCAAACCATTCTGTGAATCTATGATGATGATGATCCTCCAACTGGTGCTATCAGAAAAGTAAACTGACTCAGGCTGAAAGCAAGGGATACAATAGTGTTTCTGTATATTATGACATTATTGTGGATAATAATGTGGATAATAAATAATAAAGAGTAGTTACCTATTTCCTTCTCTGTCTTCTTTTCCTCAGAGTGAGTTATGTGTTGAGTCAGAGATAAACAGCATAAATATAAACATTTACTCCTTCCGGTGTCCCAAATGAGGAGGAAAAAAACACCAACAAGAACAAAAAACCCCAAACCACTAGAAAACCTGACTCAAGGCCCAGGATTCACTAATGGATGGTCTCAATAGCTCGGCACTTGGATTATGTAAATCAGAGATCTCCAGGCTCTTGCAAAGTTCTGCTGTGATGAGTATGGGAGGCACCTGGATTACTTGTGCATTGCTCTGATGGGGTAGCTGCACAAAGCAAGAGATTTACCAAAGTCACTCTTCTATATTCCACAAAGACTGCTGAGGAATGTAGTGATAAGGGGAAGTAATCGGGAAGATTAAGAGCACTTGGCACTGAGCTTCTGCACCTATGGAGATACTCCTCCATAGGTTTGTTAGCACAGATTTTGGAAGCTGGTTCAGGCCCCTGTTTTTTTGTGAAAATGAAGCCAGAATTATGCTCTCTCTTACCTCAACCATTTAAACTGAGAGACACTCAAGTTCACATTGCTCATCTACCTGCTCTGAAGCAGAGATGCTATGAGAGCACTGTAATTAGCCAGGAGAATGCCCTGACTGCCAGGCTATCATGTTTTAAGAGTTATCACTCTCCTCTTACAGGAGAGAGACAGCAGCCCCACTTACTGTGAATTATTAACTACTGATGGGAGTAGGGACTTGCCCCTAGCTCCCTTACATTCCAGATATTCCTCAACTGGCACATTATCAAATCAACCTCTTGTGTGTGTGCATCACATAGCCCAGTGAATATTTATTAGTATAAAATGCTTGTATGTCACTGGTGCTACATCATATTTAGCATCTGCAAATATTCTTCTGTATTGGATGGTGCTGGCTGATATTAATGCCCACAGCATGCTGCCCTTCTTATTAGCTGGGCTCTGCGACAGTGCAAGGATTGGAAGCTTCAGGGAAAGAGCAAGGAGTATTTTGTCATTGGAGCACTCTTAAGAGACACAACTTTTTCCTTGTCTGTTCTACTCCCAGAAACAAAGGACAGTGAATTGGCCTGGCTGTGGATTCACAAGTTTCTGTTTGTTCCCACTCTGATATTCCTATGACAGTGCAAGGATGCCAAGCACTGAGAAACAATAACTAACACTAAATACTGTTATTTTGTGCTTCAGCTTCTGAAATCTACATTTTTTAAATGGCTGCTAACATTCCTTTGTCCACATGATATGCAGAACCTTCTGTGTTGACTCTTTATCTCCATTCTGCATTCTTCTCTGGAGCAAAACATACAATTACACTTATCTTACATGTGGAAGGAAGTTATGCCCTGCTCTGATTATAGGAATATTTTTTTCATGTTACTAGTGTACACTGCTTTGCTGTCTGCTCATAACACTGATCTTTTCAATACAAGTGTAGATCAGGCATCCTCAGGAAAAAAGCAGCACTAGTATAAGAGGAAAACTGGATGAGTTAGTTGTGAGACCTGTCAGCTTATCAAATTTTACCAAGTCAGAAGACTTCTCGAAGATACCAATATACCAGGTAATGGAGGGAGCAAGAGAAGTCTGTGTCAATTATAGCTCTGCCTTTTTGTATAAAGGCATATATTTTGGCAAGATATCAGTGCAAAGCATGTAGAGTGTTCAGGGACTGAAGTAAGCTTTATTCATTGTTCTAAGTTTTCCCGACAGAACAAAGGAAACCTTGCTTACCTGGAAGGTCAAATTGTGTACTCCTGAGTGATCACGATTGGTCTCCTTCAGCTCCATGTGCCTAGGATGGACACGAGAGTTTTGGATGAGTGTTGAAATCTACTTGTAGCACAGGGCAACAGCAGTCAGCATCTGGTTAATCCATCCACAAGGTCTGTGACTACCTCTTGAAGACTAATCAAATGGAGGGATTCTCAGGTTGCACTTGCTCACTTCTAGCTCCACCTTCTCTCTCCCTTGGACAGCCTCTTTTGGCTGGTGTGGGAGACTGAATTCAGTGTTTCTTGAGAAAGGAAGGAAGGATTTCTTCATGCTCTGAAAGGTAGATGTCTCTCTGGCATGTCATGTAATCACATGGTTTCTGGCTTGGGGTAGCAAATAGTGAATGGAAAATTTTCTCCACCCTGATCTTTATGACGTCAGTACAGTTTTTGTCTTGTTTCTTTTTTTTTTTTTTTTTTTAACAGCTATTTTGAATCACCATTTCTGTGAGGTTGTCATGATTCTATTTTCATAGTTATTAAATATTTCATCTACAAGAGAAACAACAACAAACAGAATCTCAAACCTTCAACAGATACATGTTACACATTTTTAATTTGCATTCCAAATCGTATGACATAGGATCATTTGGTTATCTGTCATAACATTATTCACCTTATTCACCTTTAAATAAAGAATTTCTTATTACATGTTTTCAATATCATTTCCTGTATAGGGAAGTTCTGTTCTTAGAACACTTAGATCTTTTAAATATGTTTTTATTTGCCTGTGAACTTCTCATTTACAGTTTGTTCTCTGCAAATTCACTGTAGCTCTTTTACTGACACAAATCTCTGAAAAAATTGGAATAAATATATTTTTTGACTTTAAGGAAAACAAAAATTCTCTTCCTTTAAAGTATGACAGTGTATTTGTATGTACTTGTTAGGTTCCTGAATTAATTTATTCTTGGAAATTGAAAATGCTTGAAATGCGTTTTCCCTTCTTCCTGTGAAAGACCAAAAAAATATGTCCTGTTTTAGGAATAAAAATACAATCGACTAGCATGGAAAAGCAGAACTGTATAAAAAACAAGGTGATACATCTTTCTGGGAAATAACCTAAATACGTTTTATGTATACTATAAATCATATTTGCAGTACATGGTCTTTGGATCTAACTATTGCTTAAAAAGTTGAGTAGTTTTTCCCTATTGAAACACAGGAAAACAGAATATATAATTAAGAATCTTTTGATGTCTCAGGTTTTGAAATCAGTGCTTGTGCCTGTTTGTATATGCTTTGTGAATAGAGCAATTTCTGTGACTAATTGCCTCTTTCTGTTTGCACACTATTTGGCAACCAAAATAGCTGCTAAAATTTTTAACAAATTTGATATAATGGCCCACTGATTGCTGCATACCTCAGCTGTTTCTCTCTTCCTTCCTGCCTTCTGTCCCCCTGCTAGTTTTGGAAATGCTTTTACTACCACAAGGAAGATGACAAAGGAAATGTGGCACTGAGTCATTTTCAGATCCAGACTCTTTAGTACTAAAATCTGGAGTCTAAACTCACACACTTGGAAGAAATCCCTATGGTAGTATCTAGATCAATACACAAGTGCTTTCTGCTGTTTCTCCTCTTCTAGCAACACATTAAATCATCTGCAAAACTAGTTCTTTTTCATTGAAAAAGTGTCAGGATGACAATTACTTGATCATTTCAGTGCAAAGTTTACTCCTTCAAATTATATTTTATGTTAGCAAACTTACTGGATACCGAAAGCAAAGTGTACCTTTGGACAAAGCACCATGTAGTTAAACATAAGGTATGTTGGGAAAATTTCTGCTCTAGTAGGCCTGCTCAATTTTCTTTATCACAAAAAGAGACAGAAGATTCTCTTCCTTTTTTTACTCACATAAAGGAAGAGTCCACTGGAACACAGTCCTGTGAGGTCTCAAATTATCAGACTTTGCAGATTCCCTTTGATTCTAAATGCCTGGTTGTACTGTCCCTTCCTCCTTCCCTCACTGGCTGATGTTCTCAGAGGTTACAGACTTCCTGGTCTGCCTAATGTATACATGTTCTCACTTGTATATGATCTCTTAGGTCTGTGTAGTAAATCCAAAGTTCATAAATTCAAGCTTTCCATAGCTTTTGTAACTAAAATTTATTTGGTGAGTGTACAGACTGAGAGGAAAGGAATTTACAAGCTTCTGCTCAACTTGTGAGCAAGGGCATCTCATTTGCAAGCCTCTGTGTAAATGATTTTATTTGCAAAGCATCTTAAAGCTTCTTTTATCTCAACACCTGGTGGGAGATTTACTCTTGCGGTCTATGCAAAAAGAATGTTCTATCTCTTTTCTTTTTTTTTTTTAATAGTTGTATTGTTCCACTGCTTTTTTCTTACTCTTAGTTCAATAGGCTTACATTTTCAGCACCACAAAGCTCTGCATTGTGCCCAAATTTACTGCTGAGAGCAGGACTCCCACCTCCCAGTCCTCTAGCCACAGAGTCTTCTTACTATCAAAGTAAATTTAGTGGGGAAAAAACGACTGGAATGTACCATACCCAAAGTATTTTTCTTCAAGTACAGTACTCTTCATATAGCATACTACTCTGAGAAGTATTTTTCATCTAATGCAGCTAACGAGGCCTGCAAAAGGACATGAGTTGTGTGTGCTTTCAAGAGGAAGTAGAAAAAAGATTTTTAATAAGGCTATAGAACCATAACAATGCAAGTTATTTTGGGGCAAATTACTCGTCTTTTTTTCTTCTCATTGATTTTTGTTAGCAGTCTTGCTTTAATTACATGTCACAAGGTCAATGTGATGAATGAATTTGAAACAGAATGAGCATTCACTGTAGATTTAAATAAATATTCCGTGTGTCTACAGCAAGACCAAGTGAACCCAGTGTGGACATCAAGTCTTGAAGACAAATGGGTTTGAATATAACCTATTTACTTGAAGTGTCTGAGCTAAATCTCTCACTTGTATTGGTTCCCTAGATGTACTAGAGAAAACATAATGTCTCTCAGCTTTGTGTAATGGGAACACCCAGTATGATCCTGCCAAAGGTCATCCCTTGAATGCTGAAGGCAACTTGAAAGAAATAGGAACATCAAAACTTTTTAAAAGAAAGAAAGAATCTTTTCCTACAAATACCAGAGAATCAATTCACTGAAATACTTAAAACATGATAAGGCATATTTTGGTATTTTCCATATTTGTATGCTTTACACTTTTTGACCAGATGCAGAGTTGAAGTAAAATATGTTTCAGAAGAGAAGAGAATTCCCTGGGTTGTGAAATACTACTCCAGCCAAAAGCAACATGCTTTCTCAGTTAGACCTCCAAGGATTTTTTTTTTTTAAACTGCTGATGCCTGGGGAGGGAGAGGCACCATTTAAAACATTCTTTTGAATTTTTAATAGCTGTTTAGAAGTTCAAGTCTTTACAGAAGCTGATGAGATGAAGAGGCTAACAGTGGCTAAATTCCACTGTTAACACATGCTTTTAACACAGCAAAAGTTGTTATCATCCTGATAAGAGTTTGAGTCCGGCTTTTTGGGGAGGTTTTGGCCTGGGGCACATTTGTAGGGCGGCAGGTGCCTCAGCATCACAGCATTGTTGCTAGACCAGTTTTGTCCATGAATGAAATGGAACACGTTTCACCTGTGATCTCCCTTTTTTGCCTGTCTGCTGAGATACCAGACTTGGAACTATGCCTAAGAGTAAAAAAAAATATATATGTATATTCCAAACACAATACACTATAAGGAGTTGCTGCTTCTCTCCATTAAGTAGTTCAGGATATAGACCTTTCAGCTCCAAGAGACATAAAACTTCCTCTTGCCTGTCAAGGCAAAGGATTTAGTAGAACATAATTGGATTTGGAAAATCAACAGAGGATTAATCCTTCTGCCAGCAGAACTTGTGTTTCCACAGCTAATCTTTCCATGGGTAGTTTAGATTTGCAATCTCTATTTTGCAGGTCTTGTCTACTCTGCTTCAAAAAAAATCCAAAGCTCTCATCTTCCACGTTTATTATGTTTTCACACTGCAGGTTATGTGTGTTAATGGTTTATTAGTACCTTTTCAGTTAAATATTTGCTGACCTAATGACCTTTTCGAATTTCTTAAACATACTGCTAGTGAAAGCAATCTATTTCATAAAACTGACATAACCTAATCTGAAGAAAATTTCTTCCTGTGTTTCTGACAGACAAAACCATCATCTATTCCAGTTCACCGTATTTAATTTGTAATTTTTTTCTGCCAGCTTTTTCAACAACAGAGCTCCCTCTAGCTGATTTTTTGCTACCTAGATCCAATGACAGGTGATGCACAGTATTATTGCAGAAATAACTAGTTGTTGTTGAACTAACCAACACAGGAAACACTTTCATAATTGACTGATACATATTACACAAAGTCTCTGGATGCAAATGTTTCCTACTGTATTCAGTGATCTGATCCCATGCCCTTGTGCCATTGCTTTTAATATTGGCACATCTCTTCAGAAGTTGCAATTTAATCACAGAATCATAGAATCATAGAATTGCTCAGGTTGAAAAAGACCTTAAAGACCATCAAGTCCAACTGCAACCTAACCATACTACCCTAATTCTGCAGTTCCTCTGCACATCTTCCAGTATGGATCTATTGTGATCCTTCAGCACCGCTAGTGAATGAAAAATAACATTCTGAAGAATTAGAAGGGAAAGAAGAGTACTGAAAAGAAAGTCAAGTTCAAATACTTGCAGGCTCCATTTCCAAGCCTGAATTGTGTATCCAAACATACAGCAATGTGGAAGGAGAAGGGCACCTTGTGGAGTAACACTCTGCTTAAAAGGAAGAGTAGGAGAAAAAATAAATTATTTACTATTTATATATATATATATATATATAAAAGCAGACAGGAACTGTAAATATGTAGCCAAGAAAGGTGTTCTGGTTAAATATGGAATTGCGTATAGAGCATAACAAGAAAAAATATATTTTGTGCCAGAAAAGTAGCAAATGCTACCTGAATAATGAACACCATATGAAATACATATGTGTACATACATAT